ATATATATATACATACATACATACATATACATACATACATACATACATATATACAGACACACACATACTAAAATAAACTACTACCTACTACTTGCACTAATATCCCTTCTTCGCAGTTTTTCCACTTATCGCTGGTCTTCAGGGTACAGATCCCCCCGTGATAAACGAGGGACTACTGTAAATAAAGCCACATCCTACCTGAACATATTCTGTATTAAAAATAAACCATCTACCACTGGAAAACTGCTGTGGTAATTAATAATACATTCATATAAATAAAGTTCATTTTAGCTCTGTTTAGTTATATTCTGATTGTATCCTCTTCAACATTTCTGTTGGCCTACTCAACACTCACTTACTGTGTTTTGGCCTTTTTGCTAATCTATTACCAACCAGAACTACACCTCTGCTGATCAAACTTGTGGACTTGTTTGACGTTTATTTCAGTACTTGGAAACAAACATTGAATTTGAAGGTTGAAATGTTTTTTTTGTGTAGCTGGAACAACACATTTTATCTAATCCAGTTTGTTTTGCTGGACAAAAATAAATCGATGCTGCTTTTGAACATGCTGAGGTCAGCATGTCTTACCTTCTGCACCAAGTATTTGTTGTGTAGACTTGAAAGATAAAATAATCAATAGAACAGTTTTCGACTTGGTGGTTAATTTTCTTCTCATATGTTTTGAAGAATGACTAGTAAAGACCATTAAGAGTTAAAACTGTTTTCTAATCCTATACGATTATCTTTGGGTTGTAGGTAAATTAGAGATTTTACGTTAGTTTTATAAATCATGTCGGGTTTGTAGAAACACCGATCAGTATTATCTGAATTTCTTGACCATTATTCAAAAAGAGGAAAAATACTAATCTATTCAGAAAAAAATAACAAGCATCTCTTTAATTAATGTGTATCACCTGCTGCCTTGCATGCTAAAGTTTATGTAAAGATCTTCTGTTTGAATGTTGATTATGCAACCTTGACACTCAGATGATACAGCATCAAATTTAAGCTGTGAAACCTATTTAATATTAAAGCTGCAGGTTTTATCCCAGGTTACATCAGGATAAGAATCAGGCATAAAACAAGTGCTAAATCCTTGACTTCACTTGCTGTGAAAGCCCTCAGAGAAGGGAGCAGCCGAAAGAGAGATAGAAAAAAAAAAAACAGTGAAATTTACTATTATATTCCTTCTTCTGTTTGCTAATGTTTATAAGCTGCAACGGTCATCTTAAAATACTGGGTTGATTTTTAATATTAACGAGATGTAGATATACCTCCAATGATTACTGTTCAAGAATTTCATGTAAACCTATGTCGTGGAAAAAAAGGAGCTTCCCAGAACAGACCAAGGTGTAGTTCATCAGATTTATTTATAAAGCTTTGGAGAGCAGTCCAACATTCACAGAACATGCAATTACAAGATTACAATGTTATCAGTGCTCTCATCCATATGAAACCTTGACCTGCTCTAGCTCACTGGACTGGCCAAGTTGGTTTTATAAAATAATTTTCCTGTCCATGCCCTCAGTCCCTCCCCCTCCATGTCTGAGCTGTCATCCAAGGGTCCGCTGCAGGCACGAAGGAGTAGATCTGAGTCAAGGACTCTGCTTGAGACACGTCACCATATCATATCAACGCCATCTTATCAATATCAATCAGTTAGTGAGGATATCAAAAACAACCAGTTCTTTCTGTTCCTCACTGACTGGTCACAGTGGGAGTGATTACATGGAACTGTTTATCGTTCACAATCACAGTCAGTAAATAAAACAGGGCATAATGTCTAAATCTCCTTTGATTAAGTAGAAAGATGACGCATGATGAACGCATTTGTCTTAACACCCATCCACTGGTTTATGAGATATTTTGCTAACAGACAGAGGCGTTTACACTGTTGACCATCTTTCATTGCAATTATCAAAATATTAAATACAAGAGAAAACCTCTAATACTGTTACTTGTCTTGCAGGAAATCGTGAAGAGTCTTTAAATAAGTACAACTCAGCTCTCAGTGAGATGCCGTCCACCAAGTAAGTCCTAACAAACATGCTCATCCGTCAAAACTGTTTTATTCCTTGGAACCAATTTGTGTGCAGAAAGCTGCACATCGAGAACTATTTAAAAGTCTCCTACAAAAAGCCTTGGTCTTCATCTTGCCGTCAGGGTGCAGGATGGTTTCAACCTGCTGCTCCGTCGCCATGGAGGCTCGAAGAGGAACTCGCTGCTCCGCTGGTGTCAGAGCCGAACTCAAGGCTACAAGGTAAGACCCAGGAACTAACAGCACCGTTGACCTGGTTGTCTGACACCAAGACAGGAAATGTTACCAGATGAACTCTTCCTACAAGCACCAGACTGAAACAACCTGTCCTCTCGCTGCAGAACATTGACATTACTAACTTCAGCAGCAGCTGGGTGGATGGTCTCGCGTTCAGTGCCGTCTACCACACCTACCTCCCCTCTCACATCCCTTACAGCTCCCTGAATCCAGAGAACAAGGTAGGACGTGTGCACATTCATCGCATCATAGATAGGACTAAGACATTTGCGACGTTTGACTCATCATTATTCTTTGTAGAAGGAGAACCTCAGTCTGGCATTTAAAACCGGAGAGAGTGTGGGGATTTCACCATCTCTGGTAAGATTTATACAATTATAACAAACAAAAACACATTTTTTTTGTTCGTGTTTAAATTCAAAGGTTGAAATATTTGTTTCATAGACGGTAGATGAGATGCTGAGGGTGGGTGGACCTGACTGGCAGAGGGTCCTGAACTATGTGGAGAGCATCTACCGACACTTTGAGATGTGACTGCAGGATATACAGATAAATAATCCCAAAGAAGAACATATAAAAGGACTATAACAGAAAACACATTTTCGTAGTAATAGCTGCATCAGTGCTGTCTCTTGGTGGTAATAAAGGACATTTAAAGCTGCAGCTTGTACCTATGGCATGTTGATAAAGTGAAGATACCTTAAAAATTGGCAAAGCAGCAGTCAAAAGCCTGCATAACTGAGACAAGTTATGTTGTTTCCAATTTCAATGCGACTTAAGAGATAGTAGAATCAAGGTAGTAGTAATAATACAGATCATTTCTTTTAGTCTCAATCTCCTAAAGGTACTGATTGTAAACTCTAAATTAAAACAAATCTAGAGCTATACCAAATGATGCAGATTCATAGTGTTTAGTTTTCCAGATAAATTAATTTTCAATTCTGAAATGCGGGTCCACACGCAATAAAAACAAAGCCAGCTTACTTGTCGCATGCTTGACCTGCGTTCCGGCTGTGTAAGGGAACAAATATGGCCGAAGCAGACGAGTGTGGAATCTCTGAGAAGACCTTTAGGTGGAAATATTCAAATAAATCTGCTGCTAAATGCAAAAGAAAAGAAAAGGAACAAGTAAGGCATTAGTTAATATCTGCATAATTTTCTCTATTTAAATATGTACAAATACTACAAAATGATTGGACTTCTCCATTTTTAAAGGCTCTTCCATGGACACCATTATTGTTGACCTAGTTTCAGTTCATAAATACAACAGTGCAGCCACTGACATTTTGCCTTTTTTAATTTTTATTTAAAGGTCACATTACCCATCAATATTTAAAAAATGTGCAGATTGTGTTTTATTCGTCATTATTTTTTTTACCTGTCTTCATGACATTTCAACGAGTACTTTTTAATATCAAGTTTTTCATTTTTATGAGAAAGATGTTAAGTTGCTCTTAATGTCTCAACACTGGTACTTTGTTCTACATGTTATCAGTAAAATTGTCTTTGTATTTTTATCGTTTACATGTGATGCATTGCAAAATTCCTACACTTTTCTGGACTTATTGCTCCTTGTAGATGTGCACTTTTGTCAACTCTTTGTAAAAGTTACAGTTATGAAGCTGCAGAACTTCAACATTCATTGAAAAAGCTTTATAAATTTAAAACTGCAGTCTAAATAAATAAATAAATAAAACACTAACTGAATTTTAGTTTACCCAAAAACTGTGAAAGGATACAAGGATACCAGCGCCCGATTAGGTGCTGGCTTGAGACGTGCGCCTCAAGAATATCGCAGAACTAAACCAAATACAAGCCTGCACGAGATTACACATCCAACTTCAACTTCATCTCACCTCCTACCTGCTTCCACACTGATGCACAGCTGGTTTTGTTAAAACATGCTTAAAGCCGAGTTTGTTGCCAAAGTTTATTAATGCGTCACGTTCTTGGAGACTCCACTGTAAAAAATGTTCATATGTGTGAAAAGATTTTTCCAAAGCAATAAACTGTTGAACTATTGTTGCAAGTATTGCGTAATCATTTATCCTTCATGTTTAACTGTTGCTACATGTAAGAAAAAAGAGAGAAAACTGATTAATTCCTGATATTCAAAGTGAAGTAGGAACTTGGAGCTCATGTTTGAAGGGCCGAGGCTTGACCACCACCTGCTGCTCAAATAGATGTAACACAAGCATTTACTGTAGCTGTGTCTGATGTTCCACAGCTAAACCTTTTATCACTGCCTACTGCTTTAAACAAAGTACTCTGGATCCATAATTTCCAACTCTTATATTTTTATGCTGCTATTTTTGTCCCCACTGTATTTATATCTGTCAAATTTGTACACTGCACATTTATGACACTCTTTTCCTTGAAATCATTCAGTGTCAATATTTTTCTCCTATTTTTGATATTTTGCATAAATATATTTTGGAGCTCGATTGCTTCCAGAATTGTCTTCTAAGAAAATGAATAAATAAATAATTTGTTGTCATAATATAATTAAAATGTTAAGCCTGTTTACCACATTGATAGTGATTGTGTTGATGTTGTAAGAATTGTTCAGGAATGTCTAAAAATTGCTAAAATCAAGGCTGATTCAAAAAGTTGCATTTGTTTTGAGATAACATGCCATAAAGTTAAAGGCCCAGCATTCCTCGGCAGAATGCACACTTCCCATTAATAGTTAGAATTAAGTTTTTTTAAACCAGATTATTCAGCTAATTAGCTTTCAAATTATAAAATTTTGGCTGATTCTCAGCTACGCCCACACCAAATTTTAGCTTGATATCAGTACATTTGATATGTCACTTTTGTGTTTTTTTAAGATCAGTCAGCTGTGGAAGCCATCTTCAGTTGAACTGACTAGTTCAAAGGTAGCTGTAGCTGTACATCCAGTCCTTAATTCAATTCAATCCAGTTTATTTATATCCCACCAATACACAACAGAAGTCATCTCAGGACACTGAACAGAAACATTCACATACATAACAATTCAATTAGTAACATTATTTATTTAAGGTTTACTACTACTACTATTACTTTACGAGAGTTTCATTAAAATTTATCCAACCAGTTTATGAGATATTTTGCCAACATGGCAGACAAACCAGATGTGGACCATCACATTTTACTTTTTCGTTTGGAACAGTGGGTGGGCATTAGACACACAGCACCAGGGTGGTTCAGATTGTATCTGAGCAAGTGAACTGTTTGTGTCAGCTATGGTGAACATGTATCTTTCTCCGCTCTCTCATGTGGTGTCCCACAGGGTTCCGTGTTAGGGCCTCTTCTCTTCTCTTCTCTTTTTTTTTTCTTCCGCTTGGGTCCACTTTTCAAAAGCACAGAATTTCTTTTCACTTGTATGCAGATGACTGTTGAGTTTTTCCTTAAAGGAGACAAAAACCTATTTCCCTCTGAACCACTACTGAAATGCGTAGCAGACTTAAAGACCTGGATGGCTATAAACCTTTTGCACTTGAATGACAAGAAGACTAAGTTTGTGTTTTGGAGCATCCACTGACACCCCGCACATGCATTCATTGGCTCAATATACTAAGCCAGTGATCACAAATCTGGGATTTAAAGTGGGTAATAATATTAAATTTGATAATCCAATCAGAACAGGTGATAAAGCGTTTTTCAGTTAAGGCAGGTGGCTAAAGTCAAGCCAATTCTAACTAGAAAGCACTTTGAGACAGTAATCTGCTCCATCACTCAGTTGGATTACCGTAACACTCTTTATATAAGGGTCAGTGTTTCCTCTATTGGTCACCTCCAGTGGGTCCAAAATGCCATAGCACATCTTTTAACTGGCACAAAAACAAAAAAACATGACTATATTTCCCCTGTTTTAGTTGCACTGGCTGCCTGTACATTTTAGAATTCATTTTAAAGTTATTTTATTTGTTTTTAAAGCTTTAAATGGTCTTGCCCCACCCCATTCCACTGAGCTGCTACATCCATACATGCCCTCTCATTCTCTCAGGTCAGCAGACCAGCTGACCATCCCCAAAACAAAACAAAAGCTTAGAGAGGATCGTGCTTTTTCTGTTGTTCACACAAAAAAAAGTTAAATCGTGTCATCTGGACAGATTCTTCTTGGAAAAAACATTTTATCTTTCATTCGTAAGACTTAGTCAGTTTGAGGCCTGCCAACAAAATCTGTCATATAAATAGCACCTTATTGACGCGTTTCAAACCAGCCTGCTGTGGAATTCCCAGAAACTGGCTTTACACAAGCAAAAAGGGCCTCAGCCTGCCGAAGTCTTTTGGATGAAAGACAAAACGTTTCTTCCAAGAAGAAGCTGTCCAAATGTGATTCATTTACCTGGATGATTGAGCTTGCATACTTCTACTTTTCTCTGTTGCTCTTAAAATGTGGAACAACCTGCCTTTGAGCATCAGACAGGCATCCTCCCTGTCCGTTTTTAAATCACTCCTCTCTTCTCCTTGATTTTTGACACCACCTGCAATGTTGATTTTTAGTCCAATTTTAGTATATTTTAACCCATTGAATTATCTACTTGTTTTTGTTTAATATAAGGCTATTTTGCTTAAATATATTTTTATTACGTATTGTGCTATTGATTTAATTGACTGTAACTGTACAGCACTTTGGTCACATGCTTAAAGTACTTTATAAATGAAGCTGGTATGGTATAATTTGGAAAACACATGCACAGACAAGGGCAAATACATGATCACATTTTCACCTTTGGTGATGGACGATAATAGCATTTTAGTCAATTTCTTTTCAGTATGAGCAGAATAACGCTCAGACAGGACTGGGAATTGGCAGACTCTGAATAGAAAGATGAGACGTCTCCCTGTGGGTAAAGGTGATAAGAATATGAGGGCATCCTCTTCTGCTTTTTATCCCTGACAATGGATGTGTGTGTGTGCGACCCGTTGGTGTTGGGACGAGAGGTGGACTTTTGTCACCTGTACACGGAGGCAGCTTCAGTTACACGAGGCTGTCAGTTTGTGTTCCAGGTGTGAAACTAAAGTCAAACGTGTGACTGAGATCACAGCCGGACAGCATGAACAGGATCAGGATCCTCGTTTTGTCTTTTGCCGTTTCTTGTTCGACACAGCAATCGTCCAAGTAAGTTTGATCCGAATGTCTCATTTTGGCTTGTTAAATCGGTGATTAATGCTTTTCTTTCTTTTTCTCTTTTCTAGTACAACATTGTTTTTGATCTCAGGCCCAGACGTCCTGCACGCTGGTACACCCACTCCTTTGGCGTTCACTGTTTTCACCAACTTCTCTGGCAAAATAACAGCTGAAGTTGCATACGGCAGCACGAAAGTAGCTCAAACAGAGGACTTCCAAGGAGGTGAGACTATAATACCACAGATTTATTTTACGTGATGACTCAAATTTTGTAGAAAAGTCTGAAAAAAATGTTTTTTTTTATTATAAAAGGTCTGACCAAGATCCTCACACTTCCTCCTGTAAGTACAATTTAGTTTAATTTACTTTTCACACATCATCACAATTCTAAATAACTATTTTAGTCAACGTCTAATCACGTGTCTGATCATTTCTCCAGTTTCCAGCCTCCGTACCTCCAAACTCCCCGTTGAATTTGACAGTTTTTGGCTTCAGGGAGAGCAGTCAGATTTTTACCAAGACCTCTGGCCTCACCTTCAACCTTAAGAATGTCTTCACCTTCATTCAAATGGACAGATCGCGCTACAAACCGGGGGACACCATCAGAATCAGGGTTGTGTTGGTCCAGATGGATAATAAGCCGTATCAAGGGAAAGTAGACATGTCTGTACTGGTAGGTGTGCATCAAGACCACAGCCAGAGGAAATCAACAGATGTATTTATTCATTGTTTGCTGACATTTCTTTATTGCATAGAATCCAAACAGGACAACTGTTGACAGGTGGTCCACTACAGAGAGTCTGGGAATCTCCTTGAAAGACTTCCGTTTGCCCCAGACCGCTGCTTTTGGACAGTGGGTGATCACAGCCATGGTGAATGTAGGTTTGAAAAACATTAAGGTGTTCACTTTGGTTATGACTTAGTAGACGGCTGTAAACCTTCCTGAATTACCCCAAATTAACTTTTAATTTGTCTTTTGTCCTTTTTGCAGGGGGTAACTGATGAGAAAAGATTCACTGTGGAGGATCGGAGCAACACATCTACCAGTGAGTCTGAACAATGTTATTCTTTTGTTAAAGGCACACATATTAGATCAAATTTTGTTTTATTAGTTCAGGATATTTTTGTTGAAGATATAAGGTCTGTTTTCATCTGGTTGCAGTAACTGTATTCTTTATACTTTTTCACAGATGTTACCTTCCCTCTGTGAGCCAAAATAATTTATTGAATTAAAATAAAATAGAAAATAAAACAGAAACACTTTGATGTGTTTTTGTTACCGATTTCAAATCGTCGATAAATTTTGCAGCAATACCATGATTTTCATTCCTTGGCAAAAACAATATAAAACAAGAATGGGCTAAATTTGTTTTCATGTATAGAACCGCAATCGTCAAGTCAAAAATCAAAGGATAAACACAAAAATTAACAGCTAAGAAGAATTCCTGAATGTGGTAAAAACAAAAAAGCATTTTAAAAAGTATTTATCTCATGATTGTGTTTGCAGATAACTCTCCGTTTGTCGTGCTGATCAGGACTTCATCACAAGTGTTTGTTGGTGATGACATCACAGGATCCGTGAGAGCGTTGTAAGTTTAATAGTGTGACTGTTTATGAAGCATTCACACTATTGTGGTCCATTATTCTTCTGTACATTTTTTGGCATATTTTTCATTCCACAATTTTTTTTGCCATTTCCACAAATCATATATCAAAACATTAGCTCATTCAGAAGAAGGGCGCTATGACTATTGGTATTGGTGCAGCTTTAGCTTTGTGAAATATTTAGCCTTTTCTGCCACTTTTTTTCTCATAGAAAATGAAATGAGCTCATTTTACATCCTTCAAACCTGTAGATCTGTTTACAACATTTTACTGCTTCTTTCACATTTTGTTCTGGTTCAGCTTTTTTCAGCTTTCTTGTGCAAATTTAAACATGTTCAGCTACTTTTAGCTAATTTCAGTTTTATATTCATTTTGCCAACTAAAACCTATTTGTGCTTCTTCTAACGTATGCTGCTCATTTCAACTTATTTATGCAAGCTTCAGCTTTTTCTGCTATTTCAGCTACTTTTTTAGCTGTTTCATGCTAATTTGAGCTTTTTCAGCCAATTCCAGATTTTTTTATATAATTTCAACTTTTTCAGTCCAATTCAGCAAAACTTTGCCTTCTGTGCTTCCTTCTGGCAACTTGAACTTCTTTTTGATGTTTTAGTTACTTTTCAGCAATTTTTAATTTAGCTAATTTCAGCTTTCAGAGAATTTCCTCTTTTTTGTGCTCATTTCTCATTCTTTCAGCATAATTGGGGAAATCTGTTATTTCTTCTTTCTTCTGCTAATTTAAGCTTGTTCTACCTTTTCAGCTAGCTTTTTAGCACTGTTAAGCAAATTCCAGCTGTTTTCAGGTAAATTCAAGTTTTTTATGTTAATTCTTCTACTTTCAGTCTAATTACCAGTAACTTCTTTATGCTAATTTCAGCTCATTATGCTCCTTTCATCTTTTTTCTGCTAGTTTCAGCTTTTTCAGCTGATCTGTTTTTATGCAAATTTTAGCTTTTTCTACTAATTCCAATTTTTTAGCTCATTTCAATTTTTTCTTCTTCCTTCTGTTAGTTTAAGCTTGTTTTTGCTTTTTCAGCTACTTTTCAGCCTTTTTTTTAGCTAATTTACTAATTTTTGTGCTCATTTCTCCTGATTTTAAATCTACTTCAACCAATATGTGTTATTTATGCTTTTTTCTGCTAATTTAGTCTTGTTTTTCCATTTCAGCTACATTTCAGATTTTTTTAAAATCCAAGTTCAGCTGTTTTTAAGCAAGTTCTTCTGCAATAAGCATCCACACTGCATTTTCACAGGAAATGCAATTTCTATAGTTGTATTTAAAACCTCCTAGGACCTGGCATCCACATATGTGGACATTAAAGGAATAAATAATGCATGTAATGCAAGAGTTCAGGTCTTAGAAGGTTTTAAAAAGTTGAAATTTAAAATATAGCAGAAACTCTCTTCTTGCCCTTTTTGTGTGTGTGGACGCCTTTACAGCTCAACTCCTCACACAGGACACCTGCAGCTTAAAGCCTCTGTGCTTACCTGCTGTTAGGACTACACCTTCAGGACAGAAATGTCAGATGGTGTTCCTGGACGTTGCTGGAGACACTCTTCAAATTTGGATGACCACTGGCATCTCTGTGGACTCATCTATGTCCTGTTTTAGGACTTCTTTAGTCATTCTTTGTTAACCATCACCAGTTTATCAGTCTGAATTTGGAAGTCCGAGCTCTTTAGCCCGTCATTCTCCCATAGTTATTTTGGGATTGTCAACCCATAAATTCACAAATGTTGCTGTAAATTATTCAGAGGTTAAGGTGTTTATTGTACCTGCCTGAAGTTTACACCTTGCTAGGCTGATGTCTTTACATTTATAGTGTTACACTGAATAATTAATTTTCTTTCTTTTAGTTATTCCAGTGGACAACCTGTACAAGGCACGTTGGTTGTAACCGTCACTTTGGAGCCTTCATTCTTAACACAAACCAAATCAGTGAGGTTTTAATGTCCTTCTTGCTTGTTTATATATTTTTAAACAAACTAAAGTGAAAATGAACCAATTACATAATGATGATAACGGTAACCCTCCACCTTGTTCAGATCTATGGGTCTACAAAGTTTTTCTTCAGCAGAGATCAACTCCAGGCTTTATACTCTTCATCAACATTTAGCAGCAACAGCCTTGTTTACCGCATTATTGCCCAAGTTAATGACAACTTCACAGGTGGGATATATTTTAACTGGTCTTCAGTGTATTTCAGCTGCAGCACCAAAGACATTTTTATTTTTTAAGGGTTTAAAGTGAACAAAACGGTTGAAGTCCACCTCGTGCAGGACAAATTCCACCTCATGTTCCTCAATTTTCCACCCTCCCTAAAGCCATCCTTACACTTCTCTACCAATGTAAGTAAAATAGTTAAAACATTTTAATTTAATGTTGTTTTAAACTCTTTTTCACTGACATTGCTTTCTTCTCTTGCATCCCCCAGCTTCGGATCAGAAGATCTGATGGGAAGCCTCTAAGCTTGTTCGATTCAAACCACTCTGCTGTGGTTGAAGTCACTCAGAAATCCTCATTCATGAATGTATCTACAAATCTTACACTTCCTGTACCAAAGGATGGAAACGTACTCGTCCAGTTTAAATTACACAATCAAGCAGAGATGCTTATAATAAGAGTGAGTACCAAGAATTGTTGTTTATGGAATTAAATCCTCCAGGTAAACTCAGCTGTTTTCTCATGTAAAAGGAGTGGTTTCACTAAAGTATGACTCGACACGTTTATTGTTGCATAAAACCACCTCAAGACATTTAGATCATGTAACCCTGTAAGGAGGTGTTCATCTGAAAGAACATCCAGGACATCTTTCAGGAATCCCAGGAGACTCTTACTGTTTGTCTTACTTTTATTTTCAGGCCATATATCAGTCCAGTGAGGAGACACTGAAGGTCTACAACAACCACACCTCTTCTAGTGGTTCATATATTCAGATCTACCCGGTCAACACAGTACCTGCACAGGTAGCTCTAAATATATTATGCACAATTACTGATTTAATATGCATACATGTACATAATATACTATCCAATGTATGACTAACTTTCAGGTGGGCTTACCATTTCAACTTAATGTGGAGAGTACCTTCAAACCAATGACGCTTCACTTTGTGGTAAGGTCCCTGACACGAATCAGATATTAAATGCGATATAACAGAATAAATGGAAAAAAATCTTTCTGCATTAAGTACTTAAGGTACTCATTGCAAAGTCATGAAGACCAGTCAAAAATCATATTTAAATTTATAAAAGGAAAAAACAAAATCTGCACATTTCTCATATCAATGTCCTTAAATTAAAAATTGTGGCAGGATGCCAACCACCACTTGTTTGTTGACCTACTGGAGCAGCTGACGTGACTGAAACTGGGTCAGCAATGGTGGCGTCCATAGAAGAGCTGTATGGGATTTAAAAGTTCCAAAATATTGATATGTTTTTACATATCTATGCTCATAATTGTCAAGTAAAGTAAGACAAAAAATAAATAAACCGTCCACATAACCTGACTGAACATTGTTGGATTTGTACCTGGATTATTGAGCATGAACTTTTGGCAAAGTAAGACCACAATTTAAAAAAATGAAACTCTAAACTAACCAGTCAAGAAGAAGTTTAGTAAATCTGTGTGTTTGAATGCAGAGCTTTAGCTTTATGGCTTTCTACTGCTCTGTTTGATCCCTGATATTTGTTTTTAACACTTTGTACGGTGGCCCTAAGGTGTAAATGAACAACATTTGAAAAAAACAGAATTACATTTGAAAAAAAAAAACAACAAAAACACAACAAACGGAATTACATTTGAAAAAACGGAATGACATTTTGAAAAATGGAATTACATTAAGCCAAAGCGGAAGTGGCCCGAATGTGTTTTTGCTGTGTTTTTTCAAATGTTGTTCATTTACACCTTAGGGCCACCGTACTTTTGCCTACACTTCCTTGATTCAGCTATGACTACCATCCTAACTGAGGCCAGTCACATGACTAAAGCTTCCACTTGGCAGATTCTGCTTCATTTTCATAGTGCGTGGTCCCACATTTTAGATTTGTGTATCAGTATATCTGGAAAACTATTTGAGTAAACTCTTTCAAACTGCATTATTTGATACAGTACAGGATAACCTTCTTTATACTTTGCACGGAGTACATTTAATGCACAGCATAGCCTTTGGTTGGAGAATGAATGATGCACCAAACAACCACTGATATCTAGTGAGATTATAAAACTTATGTCAATGTTAAAAAGTCTCATTCACAATATTTTGATTGAATTCTACAACTAAAAAGAAGAAGTGCACAAAGAAGACCGTGATGAATGCCTAAGCTAGAGTTTTAGTGGAATGTGTGTTGTTTTTTGCTGTACTGATTTCCCATCTATGCATTTCTTCAGGCAACAACTCCTCCTGTGTATATTCTAAATATATTGACATTTATGAGCAGTATGCTATAAAGCCTTTACTTTGATTGTCAAGATACTGAAGCTTTTTAACTTTCTATTTTAGTTCTTGCTGCTTTGCAAGCATTTGATTTATGGACTAAAAATGTCTTCATACTCAGAAAAGTGGAATTAAAAGGTCATAATATAATAAATGCGACAAACTTGGCACAATTGCTCAAAATAAATTGCAATCATAATTAAAAATATAAAACATAATATTTTAGGCTATTTTGACATCACTTGTCATTATAATCATGATAGATGTTTTATATGCTTTTTTAGGGATTGCTTTTTATCATATATTAGGTTTAATTGTAATATTTTATGAGCTTTTATGCGATTAGAGTAACCCATTGCAATTTTGTTTTGTATTTTAGATGCAAATAAATTTGCTTAAAAAATGCATACAAATAGAAAAATATTGTATTATAACAAATATTGCATTATTGCCATAAAATTAATTTATTTTGAGCAGGATGAGTTGAAAATGTGGTGGTATGACCTTTTACAAACATTTTCTAAACATATAAAGCCTATAATGTACAATAGTCTAACCTTTAGTTGTGTATTTAATCTAAATAGAAGGATCTTTAGTTGCTCCAATAACTGCATCGTTTTTGTTTGTACCAAGTGCAATGTTATAAAAAACTAATGTTTCTTAATGCAGTTGAAGTTTTGCAGTACTCAGAAATAATGGACATAACTTAGAGAAGTTTGTAGTTAAATAAAAATAAATCTGACTCCTCTCTGTGCTGCTTTAATTCTAGGTAGCCTCTAAAGGTCAAGTGGTGGCTGCTGGAACAAAAAACTTCTCTTCCCTTTTGGATCTCACACCAACATCGTCCTGGTACCCTGAGGCTTGTGTCACCGTTTATTGCATCCTCTCTGATGGGGAGATCATCAGCGACACAGCACAAATACCCATCCATCAAAACAGCCATGTGTGATCATTTGATTCTTGATTCAGTTTATTTTTTATACACCATCCTAATTGATATGGTAATCCTGTTGGTTGTGCAGGTGATAGTTCGTTTGCTTGTTCTTGTCAGATAACTCTAAAATGGAGCAGTGATCGAGCCCAGCCAGGTGAGCGGGTATCTCTCATTGTGGCAGGCAATGAATCCAGGTTTCAAGTGGCAATCGCGGTAAAAGGGATGCAAAATGATGCACCCCAACCTTACACCGAGCTGTTAATGGAGCAGGTACGAGAACACTTTAGATTAGAAAAAGCTCAAAGATCAACTTTTGTTTGACGTTTAAAACATTAACTACATCCGAGTAGAAAATCAGAACCCAGAAGTGACTTTTAGACAATTGTTTTGTTGTCATGAAAAGAGAAGTGTGCTCTGAAATATAAACTTCTGTGTAACTTTATAGCAGCATCACTTGTTTGTTAATTTATTACAAAAGAATCTCCCTGGTTATCCTCCGTATCTTAGCAATTTCTTGCAGTAAGGTACTGAGAAAGTTATCAGAGTGAGACCACAGAACCGGCTGCTCTGGGTGTAACGGATCTGCCTGCTTTGTTGGGAGGGAGCTCGTTTTTCTAGGAGCTGGAAACTGTAGAGTTTTGGCTGCAGGAGCTGAGGGTTATTTATGGCTGTAAATGACTGTAGCAAGTTTGCAGCATCTTTATATTTCCAGATGCCCTATGTTGTGTGAAATAGAACAGATTATTTAAACACAGAGATTTGTTTGGCTAATAAAAAACAGAAATTGTGTCTAATGATCATATCTCACCTTTATTTCCGGGGTGTTTTTATTTCCTGTGTGTACTTTTACACATATCAAAATGCTTAAAAAGAACTTTGTGTGTGAGAGTAGTGTTGAGTAATTATGAGCAGTCAATATCTTACCTGTTTTACATGGCAGTCAAGGTGATCACAGTTTGAAGAATCAAGGAGAAATTTATATGAGTGGTTTAGGGTAACAGGTGTAAAAATGACCAATATAATGTTTGAAATGGAAGCGTCAATTTTGAGTTTTTGAGGTGAAATTCGCTCTTGAATGAATGCTGCTTCCCCTAGCCATTAGCTTTACAACCCCATGAGCTACTCCCTGAGTCTCTAAACTGGGATTGCTTCAATTTGTCCCCTGCACGTAAGATACTGACTTGTTATAACTACTCCACCCAGTCCTTGTAAACTAAACCATTTTACTTTAAGACACCAGCACACAATTGTTTTAGTTTTTTTTATTTCTCTCATTACACAGAAATGCAATCTTCAGATGATGACGAATGCAGTATTGAACAATAAAAAGCAACCAGATGGATCTAAAAATGGTAAAAGTTGCTCCTTTGTGGTGACTCTTTCATATGGATATTTAGCACATTGAACTAAGTCAACAAATTCAATACTTCCCTACAATGCTAACTGATTTCTTCTTTTTGGCTTCAGATAGTGGCAGTGGCCTAAATATTGAAAAGTACTGGAGCCAGTGGATTGGTACTACAGACTCACTGCTGTTGTTAGACACAAATGTCAGGTAAAACTTAAAAGTGCACATGCTAAATTAAGAGGGTGGTGTTTAAATGATGATCCAAAACATGTTTTTATTTTTTACATTCATGTATTTTAGTGATAAGAACTGGAAGAGTGGGAAAATAGCGGTGCCCGATGGTGTCACTTCTCTTGAAGCTTTTGCACTCGTGATGTCGGAGAACCTGGGTTTGAGTTTCATTCCTGTGCCACTAAAGGTAACAACTCCTCAGCTGGTCTTTGTTAACCAGGGAAGATTCTCAAACTATGTGCCATTAACAGTGGACACGTCTCTTCTGCCATTGACAGCTGACCGTATCCAAAGATTTCTCCTTGTCTTTTATTGTCCCACCATACGTCATCAGACGGGAGGAAATTGTGCTGGAAGTAAACGTAACCAACCATTTGGACCACGACATTGGGGTATGTTGGATAAAATGTGTGACAGCTAAAGTGAAATTAGTAAACCATCTTGTATTGTCTTCCATTATCCAGATGTGGACAATAGTATTTTTGCTTGTGTCTCTCACCAAAATATTTAATGAACTATTAGAGGAATTTAAATAAAACTTTCAGAAAGTAATTATTAGATGTACATTTGCAACTTAATAAGAACAGGAGTTATCGTTTTAAGACAGCTGCCACAGCCTTGAAAAACAAAAATGGCTGCCACTCAGTCAGTGTGGAAGTAGTTGAGTCATTCACAACACATACTCTGAGCATGACATCTCACAATGTTGTTTTAAGGTTTTACCAAAACATCAAAGTTCATGCTCAATCATCCAGGTACAGAATCCAATAATGGTCAGTCAGGTCATCTGGACCGTTTCTTTTTTGTGGAAAGACGTTTCGCCCTCTATCCGGAGGGCTTCATCAGTCTGAGGAGTCCCAAGTAAACTGTTTTCCCCACCAAGCAGTACTCTCCTTTAGTGGACCAACCAGTTTGCTGGTGATAAGATGGTTTCTGGGGGTTGTCCTGTCCCCCATTTTTAGCACCTGGACTACATGAGTGCACTGCTTAGTGGGGAAAACAGTTTACTTGGGACTCCTCAGACTGATGAAGCCCTCCGGATCGAGGGCGAAACGTCTTTCCACAAAAAAGAAACTGTCCAGATGACCTGACTGACCATTATTGGGTTTTACCAAAAACAACTGTAACGCCGTCATTTTTCAACAAAAGAAAGTGTCATTTTTGTTTTTACGTTTCAGGTTATTGTGTTTATTGCACAGACTGAGGCCTTTGAGTTTGTTATGACGGATCAACGGGACAAATCGATTATAAACGCCCAGAGACTCACCTTGAGAAGCCATCAGACTGCTTCAACTTTTTTCCCCATAAGGCTTTTGGCTTTGGGCGACATTGAAATATCTGTGGTTGCCATGTCTCTAGAGGCCTCAAACAGCTTTTCCCAGAGAATCCTGGTGAAGGTATGCCACATCAAAATAAAGGACTGAATATAACAAGCCAACAAAGGAGAAAGAGATTAATTTTTACCAAACAAACTGTAAAAATGCAGCATGCTATGAGACATTCAGTAACAGTGGACTTCTTTGGTGTTCTTGCAGCCTGAAGGAGTTGAACAGTCCGTCTCACAGACATTGTTCCTGGAGCTGGCAGAAAAACAAAATGGTGCCAGATCTGTTTCCTTTTCTTTTCCTTCAGATGTGGTACCAGGAAGCCAAAGGGCCCATATATCACTGGTTGGTACGTCTACCATTCAACTATTGTGCTGTGCCAGACACTGATAGGCTCTCTGGCTTCATTCAGATTTAAAGACATTGAAATATACTGGTTTCTATGCTTGGTGTGAAAATAAAGCCTTCTTGCATTGTATTACTTTGCACAGGCGATATCTTGGCTCTGTCCATCAATTACTTGGATTCACTGGTTCAGAGGCCCACCGGGTGTGGGGAGCAGAACATGATTCACTTTGCTCCAAGTATCTACGTCCTCCAGTATCTGGACAAGTCGGCCCAGGATGACCCAGAGATCAGGAGCAAAGCATTGAGCTACATGATGACAGGTAATCTGCTTTTTCCATCTTAAATTTGATTCAATAATATGATGCATGTTTTACACAACCTGCTTTATTGATTATTTATTTATTATGCAAATTTTATTCTGATTTAGTTATTTCATATAAATTCCACAGAATATGTGACGTTAATGACTAATAAAGTTGTATTTTTTGCTGTAGGTTATCAGAATCAACTGTCCTATCAAAGAGCCGATGGTTCCTTCAGTGCTTTTGGACGAAACGACACTTCTGGTAGTATCTGGTATGTCACCAGTCCTGCACATTGTTCTACAGCAAGTTTGTCACAGATCAAATTTCTCAACCTCTATGCTCTTCCCTCTTGTTCTATGTCATACCAGGTTAACAGCTTTTGTGCTGCGGTGCTTCCTTCAGGCTCAGTCCTACATGCAAATAAACACGAGTGTCCTGACCAGTGCCATGGGATGGCTCTTGAAACATCAAGGGCCCAAGGGGGAGTTTGTTGAGGTTGGCAGGGTCATCCACTCTGAGATGCAGCGCGGGTTGGATGATGACTCAGTAGCTCTCACAGCTTATGTGCTACTGGCATTTTTGGAGGATGATACTTATTCTGTGAGTCCATGGAATTTATGTTTTTCAGTCAAAATGGCTGAATATGTTGCAAAATAGGCCTAAAAACTTAGTTATACCAACAGAAAAACATCTGCTTTTTCTTTGCAAAGGCCATGTTTGAAAGCAATGTGTCTCTGGCCCTGAAATACCTGGAGAGCAAAGTGTCGAGTGGTGTGATCCGCAGCAACTACAGCCTGTGTTTGGTGGCGTACGCTTTAGCTCTGGGCGGCAGCCCCAAAGCTGCTATAGCGCTCACAGAGCTCAGCAAAAGGGACGACTACACAGGTGATTTCGACCAATTATGGCAAAAGAGCTTTAGAAATAAGGATCAATGGTTGATTTATGAAGCAAAAATAGTTTTGGCCCATACAGTTTATTGGAAGCTCGTTAAGAATTCAGTTTTCAGTATGTACTTTGTAAAGTAACGACTGTCTGACCAGTTAACTATAGAAGGTTTTGGAAAAATACGGATTGAGTTGTTAATGCTGTTCTTGTAAAATGCAACATTAGCCCTATTCACACAGGATTAGTTTACCTAGGGACCACATGCTATTTGTAATAATTTCGGAGATTGTCTGTGTGGTTAATCCCGTGCGAATCAGCCATGTCAGTAAAAATTCCCCGGCAAATTACCTACACTATTTTGCTGAACTCCAAGGTCCTGTGATAATTCTAATTCAATGCGATAGGCATCTCTGTGATTTGGACAGAAATGCGCAGGATGCGACATGTAATGACACTTTTTTTTAAAGTAAAATAATTTGGAAAATATAGACCAAGGCTATTTTAAATGCATGTGCTGCTCGCTTTGGGTTTTTTTCTTTTTCTCGTGCACTGGTGCTGGAGAGATGCAATACCAGGTTGGTGCGTGGAGTGGACGAAGCAAGCCCCTATTCCATCTCCCTGTTCCAAAAATCAATTTAATATATGGTCCCTGTGTAGGGGACAGCTTTTATGCTGCTACTTTCCTCATCGCAGATGAGAGCAGGTGCGGAGATGTGCACGTGATCAGCTGACCCATCCATCCATTATATTTACTCGCTTCTTCCTTTTCGGGTAGCTAGTGCCCATGTCCAGCCATCACTGTGCGAGAGGCAGGGGACACCCTGGACAGTTCATAAGTCCATTTCAACCGGTGGGTCAGCGGACGTGTGGCTGCTCACGCGCACGGCCGGTGACAGCTGTCCATCTGAGCCTAACGTGGCTTTTTTTAATCTCATATTTAAACCTGCCAGTCGGACCTGCCTCCTCCTCAACAAGTAGATTAACACAATTTTATACTGTGCATTCTTTAGTTTTCTTTAGTGCTGGTTCGTAAAACCACATCAAAGCTTGAGACCGGCCCGGCCCGCACATTAAGCACATTATTATGGACCGGCCCGGTCGTGACAGCACAGCGTGTTAACATCATATCTGGAAGATCTCCGTAAATTTCAGTTAAATCTCAGGCTTTGGTTATCCCGTGCAAATGAGTCACATTAAAAGCAAACGTTGGGGAGTAATTTATTGATTACATGTGGTCCTTAGGTAAAACTAATCCCGTGCAAATAGGGCTATTGTTTTATTTAAAAGTTAGTCTAACATTCTAGTTGTCTTTTATTGGAGTCTGCTCGTGCTGTTTTGAAACAAAAGCAAATATTAAATGGGCTACACTGGTAATGATCTGTCTCATTTACCTTAAACATCAGATCTTGGAATGGTGTTACCTCTACCTTCATCATGTTTCAGTTCAAAGTTGGAAAACAATGTTTGCTAATTTTTGTTAATTAGTGTTTAGGCTAACTACAGTTAGCAGTCACATTTCTCTGCATTTGATGCATTCAAACACTGTAGCAATAGGTTCACTGAAAAACAATATAGGTTTTTGGGGGATGACCAATTTATCATTAATGACAGGAGTACAAGTACCGTTTATTGCTGCAGCTACCACCACTTGCATGTGCATAGCAGCCATATTGGATTTTGAAATAACGGCTGGTGAGAAACCTCACACTCTCGAAGTCCAATTTCTCACTTTAAGGGACTTTTTTTTTTTCTATTTTGAAAGATGATGTCATGATATGGATGTCCTCTGCTGGCACGAGGTCACTTGATCAGCAGCCGAGCTCGACACAGATCGAGATGGCCTCGTATGTTTTGTTGGCTTTTTTCATGCGAGGCAGCTTCATTGAAGGGATCTCCCTCGTGAAGTGGTTAAGCACACAAAGGACTCATCAAGGTGGTTTTGGAACGACTCAAGTAAGACTTTTTTTTTGTTCCTAAAAAAAATTATGTACCGATAACTGTTTCAGTCTGGAGAGAATAATGCAATATTCCATTTATTTTAGTTTTACACAACTTGACATTTTGAAAAAAAACTTTCTATTTTTGTGTCTGTTTCCTGCAGGACACCGTCGTTGCTCTCCAGGCTCTGGCTTACTACGCTGCGTTCAGTGGTGCCAATGCCATTGACATCAAGTTTAACATATCTTCCTCCTCGTCTTCGTTTGTGTCACTGTTTCGCATCAACGCAATGAACTATCGAACTTATCAAAGCCAAGAGGTAGCAAAAAAACAAATGTTTATATCTTTGTTAACTCAATGGATGTTTTACATTTATGATTTAAAGTGGACAAAATAGTCAAAACTGACAAAAAGGACTAACTTTTATTTCCTTTTGTTTTTGTTTTTAGATTAACCCTGTAGAAGATTTACCTCTGCAAATATACATGGAAGGAAGAGGATTTGCCATATTTCAGGTATAAAGCAAAATAAATCAAGAGTATTTTGAAGCAATGTTATTTTTGCATCACATGAATCACTTTATGATACAGATTTTTAGTATAGTTTGCACCAAAGCCTTGCTCAACAGTAATGTTTCCATACTTTCATTATGTTTGGCTCCATACTCTGTTGACAGACTAACCACTGGAGCATGCTCAGAAGAAATTGATGGCAAAATGCATGAGAGCTTCTCCCAGCAGCACAATGTCCCACATAAGAAATGCTCAATCAAAACACCAAATGCAAATGTAGCATGATAATGGACTCACAGCAGTTAACATCTGGAATGCAGACTTTTATCACTCATAGGGAGACTCTAGGAAAGTTGAAATATTTCCTTGTGCATTACATTGAAACTTGTTTTTGTTTGAATCACCTCTTCTAAATGTTCATTTTATACATTTTTCTTGCATGCAGAAACATGCAGATCGAGTGCAGAAAGTGTCCATTTTTGGTAACTTTTCCCAGTAGAAGTTTCCCATTTTTAACAGTTTTCATAAATGTGTGCAGCTGAACGTCTTTTACAACGTGAAGAGCAACAACTTGCAGCAGACCTCAGATGAGGATGCGTTCGTATTAACATCTCATCTCACTCAAACTGACACTGATCACATGATGATGTCTGTGTGCACAAGGTAAGCACCAACGATGCAGAAAGAATAGGTGATTTATGCTTTTGGTGATGTTTGTAATAACATGTAGATGTTTTATGTTAATCCTCTCAAGATTAAAAGACAGTCAGCCAATAAATAATACAGGGATGGCTATAATGGATGTGGGCATGCTCAGTAGCCTTGATCTTCCTCCTGAAGCTGCGGTTGAAGCAGATTTTATCAGACGTGTGGAGAGAGGGCCCTATAAAATCAGCCTGTATCTGGATTCTGTAAGTGTTAAATTATCTTTTTCTTTCCTTTATTTATTTGTCTAGTTTGAAACACTGATGGATATTTTTTATTCACGAAGCCCAGATGGAAGTGCTGTGAACACTATGTATATCTTCCAGCAGCGGGGTGGGGCGTCACTTTACACCAGGGGGTGTCCAAACATTTTCAGATGTGGGCCAAAACTATCAAGATGGAGGACTTGTGGGAAACAAAAAAAGAAAAGTGAATTGAACTCTCAACGTGAACAAGGATTTTTTGGAGAAAGGACAAAAGTTTACTAATTTTGGTGGAGAAAGTGTTTTAAATGGTTGTAAATCCAAAACATTAAAAGCCTTGGAAACACTCAACTTTTTTTTTAATTAAGAAGGATTTAATTTATTTGATTTGTTGGGTCTATGTTTGTTGTTTTCTTGTGTTTGGAAAGTTCATTTTAGTCTGCTCTCAGCAATAAAAGTGTAATTTGTGTAGGTGTCCTTTAAAAAAGGGGTTCGATCAGCCTGTTGGACCACAAGGCTGATGAAGTTCTGAAAAAGCATCCAGCTGTCAGTCGCTACAACAGATTCATAGGGGGCCGAGATGATGTCAGGGCAGGGCAGCTGACTCAGGACCCAAAGGTCCGAGGTTCGATCCCCGGTCATTGCTCATCTCGTGGTGTCTGAGCAGGACACCCAGGCACCCTCCATAGCTGCTCACTGCTCCACCTGGTGGTGGATGGGTTAAATGCAGAGAGCCAATTTCACCGTTGTATGGGAACGTACAATGGTGACAATATATCCAAATTAAAAGTTTCTAATCTTTGTTATGCTGCTCAGTTTCCTGCCACAGAAAAAAATCCAGTCTGAAGCCATCAGACGATATACTTCAGGTGTAGATTTGGTCAGCAGAAATGTTCAGATAGGTTGGATTATTAGAGGATTAGGAGATTATTATGGATTATTAGAGCTGCTGCAGTTTATCTGTGTTTATAAGACAAAGTTCAACCATTTTCATCAATGAACCTTTGGGCATCCATGACCTTGTTTTCACTCCTTATTATGTCCAAATTTGCATCAGATATTTGTTGATACACACCTGTAATTTCAGGGGTTTAAAAAAAAAAAAAATTGCTGTAAGCATAAAATAGAAAACTTTAAATGTAAAACAGATCACTGTTTGAGTCAATTTATTTCAGTTTGTAGTTCTGTGATTTACAGAGATTATCAAAAATCCCATAAATAAATAAAACAGTTACCATATTTTTCAGACTATAAAGGCACACTTAAATATTTTAATCATCTCAAAAATAAACAGTGAGCCCTATAGTTCTGTGCACCTTGTTTATTAATTCTGGTTGTGCTTATGGATCTTGAACTGATTTTATGTGGTGCACGGCGCTCAAATCTGTCAAAATTAACTTGTTTTGCTTAATGCGCCTTATAATCTGAAAAATACGGTACATAATTATTCAGCTTTGCATAAACTGGCAGTCATGCTTAAAAATAACTTCTTTTTTTGTGTGCTTAATTTGCAGGTCAACAAGTCAGAGGTTTGCGTTAAATTTCCTTTGGTCAGAAAACACAAAGTGGCTCGTGTTCAAGATGCTGTGCTGCAGGTTTACGACTACTATGAACCCAGTGAGTCCAGCTGCAGGAACTCTAACGTTCTGCCTACATTTATGATAATTTTTCTACAAGATTCTTAAAACAGGGTATGACAGACTATTGATCATCATGTCATTTGATTGTTTTCTTTTTCAGCAAGGAAAACAACAAAAACATACAACTCAGACTTTCTCCTCAACACGAACTCCTGTTCTTTCTGTGGTGAAAAGTGTGATTCCTGTCAGCCGGGGATCACCATCACAGTCAAGTCCCCGGTGTCTCGTTCCACCACAGAAACCGTCTACAGCCTGATCTGCTTATGCCTTGGAGTCGCTGCTTTTCTTGTTGTTGTCTAATCATAAGAGTGGCATAAAGCTGGTCCATGCATGTTTCAAATGTTGACAAGTGATTAGAATATATAGGCTGTTTGCAAGCTGCAAGTGCACATGTGCCCTCTACTGTTTACAAAGAGTTTTGCATTGGTTTTGACCTCTGAAGAGGGAAAAGCCAGCAGAAGTTTTCAAAGAAGCCAAATCAAAAATGACTTTAAAAGTTGTGTAGTTAATATTTCATTTATGATTCTAATCGTTTTAATCGTATTACACTGTAAAGCAATCATTAAATCTTCATTTTTGTTTCTTTATTTCAGCCTCCATATGTTTTTATACAGCAAGGCAGCAAATAAACGGTTTATTTGAAGCTCCGTGTGTGTCCTCTTATCAGCCTTGGCACAAAATGCCGACATGTCAAGCTGTCTGACGAGTCAGGAAAGGCTAAAAACAGGAGTATTTTCCTTATCAGCTTTCTAGCTATTAACAGGCTTGTGAGTTTAGACATTTTACTACTTCAGATGGTTACTTTGTACCTGTGGCAGAAAGCTTTTAGAGATGATTTAAAGTGAGATAAACTTACCTTCTCCTCCTGGTTTGTCACATTAGTGTTAGCTGGAGGAATGCGTGACCTATAGAAGTATGCAGAGTGAGCACACATGGAAGTCATCTGCAGATTCTTACCAGGTTTGACAAGACTGCCATTATTATGAAATGTGAATGTTATTAGATTTTCAGCTTATTTTTGCAGAGTATCATAGAACATCTTGTTCCACTGAATAATTAACTAGGTGATTATAGTGGAAACATGTTAAACTAGAGTTAAATGTGTCCATCAGTTCAGTGATTTGTCACATTCAGAGCACTGGGGGGGTTCTTACAGCAAGCAAATAGAAACTGCACTCTGTTTATTTGCTGGAAACCCAGGTCTGTTTTTTATGCGTTGCTTTTTTATGGACTCGCTGAGAAAGTACATTCCTTTTTGGAACACTAAAATGTTTGGCTCCTTAGCAAAACCAGAGACAGGAAGGAGAAATGTAGGTGTTACACACTAAACAGTCAAGTTATTTACACAAACACGTTGACTGTTAACGTATTATTAATAATAGGTGGACTTTACAGCGTGCAAAATATCTCAGACATGTTTCATTTTAATCTTTGTTTAAAATGTATGCGTTGGTTGTGATGCAGCTTCCAACTTCTTTAGATTTAGAAAGGTGACTGTTAATAATCTGACTTTTATACGCACTTTGATCAAATGCACTCGTTTACTGACTCTTCAGGTGAATGGAAACGTTCAAAAATGAGGAAACAAAATATTTCATGTGGATTTCGAATAAATGCTCAGAAAATAAATCATTGTACATTTACCTACATCTCATTAAATACTAAGGTAAAGTTAATTCAAGATGGCTGTCATAGCCAACTGACCTAGCAAAACACTAAAATTATTATAACTCTGTTCATTTTAAACACTTTGAGCTATGTGAGGTAGTAGCTGAGCATCAACCCTAACACCAACTTCAAACACTAACCAATGTGAATATTTTTCATTTAAAACAGTGGCTATAATTGTTAGCAAAATATCTTTTGAACGAATGTTCAGACATTCATGGAACACTCAGAAAGTAAAAAAATTGCCTAAACTCTTATAACTCGTTAGCATTCATCGAAAACCCCATTTAATATGGCCGCCACAGCTAAATGACAACAGCCAACACAGAAATGGCTACAATTATCTTAGTTTTGCAGATAATGAGCGTATAACTGGTGCAGCTGAGATTCATCTTCATGATATTACATGGGATGGCACATCAGCTGATTTATAAGGTTTGACTAAAACAACTACAGCTCTGCATCTTTCCAGCATAAGATGATTTCAGTTAAAAACTTTGGCATGAAAGATGGTGGATGATATGAGTTTCTTCAAGGAATGCTAGGCCTTATATATATATATATATATATATATATATATATATATGGCTATATTCTATGAAAGTGCTTTGTTCCTGATTTTAATACAAAACAGAAGTTTAACAGGAATTTAAACCAGAAATTGGACACACTGTTGCATGAACTGAAGCTGTAGCTCTTCAATCACAAACACTAGATGGCATGCTTTGCATCCTAATAGCTCAAAGATCATAAAGAAGAAGGGGTGGCACACACATACTACATCTGCCATGTGTTTTAAGTTAAAAGTACTGAAACAAATAAGTACAGCAAGCAAGCACCTCCTCAGAGTGTTTTTTTTTCTCCTTCCTTTTTTTATATGCACAATAAATACTTTCAGAAAAAATCAGGTGGTTCTTTAAAGCTGCCAGATTGATTTAGCTCATAAATACTGTGTCTCGAGAGCATATCTTCGGTGTTGAGGTGGAAAGGAAGATTGGAAATATTGTTTTAAAACAGGATTAAAGGTTAAGCTAGCTTTAGTAAAATAAAAAAAAGTAATTAAAACAAAATGAGCTACAATACAAGCTTTTCTATATTTCATTTCTCCAGTGAATAATTAAAAACATGAGATGTGCACACGCAAACACACATTTAAAGGCCGTAACAAGTGACCTTTGCTAACCTGGATCCTGTGGGTCAAGTTACAAAAACAATCACTCAATCAGTGGCATACAATAGCCATGATGTCACCCATTTACTGTTTTAGAAGGCTGAAAAACTGCATTGTGCCTTTTACTGACACTGTAGGATATGTGTGTGTATTAAATTAAATCAATTAAAAAGAGTAATAAAATATTGACATTTCTTGACTAAAACAGTAGATATGGTAGAGAGAAGGTGATTTATGTCTTTGCCACGTATCTCATTTTACTTGAACAAGCAACAAAAATGTGTTTCAAAGTAAATTTTCCACATAATTTAAATTTAGCAGTGACTCTGAAGCTAATGACAACACTTATGTTTAATCCCAGGGCTATTAAGTCAGAACAAAATAAATTATTATTCATATTGTTCTCCTTATGGGAGTCTTAGGACAGACATGAAATATTTTAGTTGGACTAAACGTGGCGGAAAGTTTGATAAAGTGTGTGTGTTGCGTAAATATACAATTAACTTTAAAAGCAGGGTTAGACTGAACTGTGTTCCAGACATGACTCCCCATTGTCCTGCAGCACAAGTCGTCCAATAAGCTTTGAAACCCCACCGCTGCTGGAGTCGTGGAGTTACACCAGCGACGGAGATCAATCGATAGAAAAACTTTTAACTCCCTTGCTACGCTTCCTAAAGGACTCCCCGTGTCGAATGAGCCGAGTGTTGCTAGTTTAGTTTGGCGAGCCGTGCTTCACTCTCTGGGGTGACTCATGGAAAATCCCTTTATCCTCCATCCCACCCAGAGGGAGAGTGTATTTATACAACCCCCATGTGACCTTGTGCTGGCTGGGCCAGTTAGAAAAATCTGTCCTTGTCAAAGATGAACTCCACAACAACACCAGGCTGATGATCCTCTCTTTGAGCCTGTTTTCTCACCACGCCGTGGTCCAGTTTCAGGTAACGGACGGGAGGAGTCTGGTTCAGAGATTAGGCGTCTGTGTGCACGCACAGATGAGTGGTGTCTCCTATGATGAATCACTGTCTCTTGGTGCATCAGCAACGATTCATCGACACGTATCTTTGTCTGTATCGGGGATAATGATGTAAGTATGAGCAGCTACAAGCCCGACGGGACACGAAACTGTAAACTCGTGTCCAGAAACAGCCTCACAGCTGACGACTGTTGAACCAGTCTGGGTTAAAACGGGAGGATTTCACTTCCTTTCTGACTCCGATGACGTTTACTTCAACAAAATCAAGCTGTTTTTGTTCTGATGAAAAAGCTTCAGCGGGAAACGTAAAAAAAAACAACAACAAAAAAACAGCTGCTGTAGCGTGATTGATTCAGTCTGACTCAGGAGGCCTTTGTGGTTTTATCACGACTTACTGTGATTTTATCTGTCTGAGGGATTAATTTATATCTTCATGTTAAAGTTTAAAAACAAACTAGACTTAAACAGTCCTGGGGGTGTCGAACTCAGTTAACAAAAGGAGGCAAAATTAAAAAAAATTGGCCCATGGGCCACTTCTGATACATTAACTCGAGTCAGATATCTTTTCTTGGTTGCAGGATTTATGAATAAAAGTTGGATCTGTCTCACTTGACGTTTGTTACTCTTTCCATATCAGAATCAGTAATGACAGAATGACCCAGCTTCTTTCTGGCTTCAAAGTTAGTCAGCTGGTAAGAGAAGTCTACGCTAAATGATGTCTTTAACAGTTGTTTTAAAGAGAAAAGTAGAAGATAAACAATATTTTACATTGAAATCATCATCTTGGGGGGCCAGATTTAGCCCGCGGCTCTTGAGTTTGACGTGTGCTCTAAACTCAAACTGACTCTTTCATTGTGATGCTCTCCTAGTTTTCCACTCATTTTTCACCCTGGTCAGTTTTGCCACTCCAGATTCCACCATCACACGTTTCCTCAGGTTTAATTAATGAGAAACAGGTTGAAATAGGTTTACTTCACGGCTCATGTATGCACGTGTGTTTGTAGATGGGGGTATAAGATGAAGCAGGCAGAAGGAAAGACAGTTTATGTGCACAGAAGACGTGACAGCAGCACGTGTGTTTGCACAGTCGTGTCTGACTGACATGGGATTATTTTGTGTCTAAACCGCAGAAGGAGCTGGAGTTCCTGTAGTCTGATTAAGACCAAAACACTGTCTGAGTTGCCCACATTTGTACTATCCACTGCTCCAACGAGTCTTCGAGGAGGGAAGCCAGTGTCTGTGCATCCCTCTTACAGGCAGCGATCATCAGATTGATGAATGAAGCGAGCTGAGAAAATAAACGCTCCAACTGTGTTATTCCACAAACAAATGCCTCAGGGATGATGGCCAGCTGAGACGATGGACCTGAATGCCGCTGGAAATAAGTCCCAGTTCATATGTGGAGTAATGACTCAGATTGGAGCTTCTGTGTTTAGTCATCTGGTGGAACCTCGGTCACTTCAAGGTGATTTTATAGTCATTTGCATCACATGTGGTACATGAGGTAGAACAAAACTGTGTACTCAAGGTCCCAG